GTTAAAACAGTCAATAGTAGGATTCATATTTAATATGTATTTATTGTATTGATTCTTTTGTTCACGTAACAAATTTTATAGAGTCCTGCAACATGTAACTTTACGCTCTTCCGTCTGAGTTAAAAATTTCAGCGATTATCTCAGATGCGCGCAATGGAGTCCATTTGGCAACAATAAAGTTGAACAACCAGCGCGCGCACAATATTAAACCCAAAAGTGATAAAAATGTTGGACAATTAAGCAGAAGTCTGCAGAAGGCGACCCGTTACAAGGTGCACAGCTTGGTTTAGAAACAAAATCGAAAGTACTTAATAAATGCTACAGGTAGTTACAACTTATTCGACTAGGCACGTGTTACTGTCCCATGTTGGAGGGCAGACTGAGCAGCGTGCTCTGTCCACTGGGCAAATAGGCAACACCACGTGACCTCGATAGCTGGTAGGCAATGTCCTCAGCAGCTTCAATACGACGCAGCTCCACCAGACCATCGCCTGCCTCACCGAACGACTTGGCCAGTAGACCGGCAGCTTCGGCATCACCCTCAGCCGAAATAATGGAAGCCAACTTTTGTTGCTCGGCCTTCTCGACAACGAAACGCGCCTTCTCAGCCTCCTGCTGGGCAACCTGTTTCATTTCAACAGCCAGTGTGAATTCTCGGCCAAAGGTCAAGTGCGTCAGCGAGATATCATCCAAAATGAAACCGAATTGCTTGGCACGTACAGTGAGCTCCTGAGACACGCGCTGAGAGACCATCTGTGGGTAATAAAGAAGAGGTTAAGCTATTGATATACATTTACGAAGAACTCTAATTAATTGCTGACCTCACGCTGTGTAATCAGCTCTCCAGCATCGAATTGAGCGACAACCGCTTTTAGCACCTCAGGCGCAATGGAAGGCAACACACGCTCATCATAATCCTGGCCAAGAATCGTGTAGATCTTTGGCAGCTCATCCGGTATGGGACGATACAAGATACGCAGCGTGATATTGACATTTTGCAAATCCTTGCTGCCGGTAATCACCGGCACGTTTCGAGGCTGGGAACGAATGTCAAAGATAATGGGACGCTGCACCCAGGGAATGAAGAAGTGTGTACCCTCGCCGACAACGTGCTCCTTAATGCCGGTGAAGCGATCAAAAATAACCGCCCGATGGCCACCTTCAACATTATATAATGCGGAGTTCACGACACCGCCCAGCAGTGCAACGCCGAGACCCATTTGGCCAATACGATTAAAGAACTGAGCAGCCATTTTTCTTAAGAATAACAACAAAAAATTATGTAGTTTTAGATAAGTTATAAATTCAATGTGTATATTGTGTGTTTATGTAAATGAACCGAAAGCCGACTAAGTTGTGTATTTCGTCAGATTTGTAGGTTAGAACGTCATGTAAAGTCGCAAAGTGCACCGTATGTGCTCTTATTAAAGTGCACAATGTACTTTTTCATAGCCGTGTTTACAGTGAACTGGTTTTACTAACTTTATATTTATTTGTGCGCTTACTTAAATGTTTAATAACGTTATAATTGCACAAAATCGCTTGCTTTACACTAAAACCGCACGCAGTGAAACGACAGCTGACAGTGTTGTAAGCCGCCATTAGCGGCAATGTGAGATTCATAGTGGTGAGTAATTGCTCACAAAAATATCGATAGACCGATAGTTGTAAACTATTCCAATCAGAGAGCGCAATTTCAAATATTAACACTTGCAATTAAAACAATTGTGTTTGAAATGTTAAAATAAACATTTATTGCGTCATCTCTGCGCGTCCTGCGGTTTTGGGCATCTTTTTATTCGTTGAATCCTCCAGTTCCTTTGATTTGTAGTAATGAGGAGCTACCTCAAGCAGCCACTTGCTTTCAATTTCAATAACCTGACGCATGTACTCTTTGGAGGTGAAGACCAGCTCATGATATAGCACCCACCGCGGCAGCTCCTCAAACAACGACGAGTTGGGATGTATCATTACAGTTTGATTGTGCTTAATTGTCTTGTAGTGACCGCCCTTGGACAAACGTGCCACATGATAAAAGTAGCCAGCCGTGGCTGCCTTGCGCACGTTGATCGTTTCTGGCAGACAGCTGACCATGTCTATTTCGACGCGCTGCATCAGACCGACCAGTTGCTCGCGCACATCGCGGGCCCGCTTCATGGATCTGTACTGTATAAAGTTCTCGTAGCACCACTGGGTGCTGTAATCCGTCTCCGCCCACTGGTTGTAGACCTGAAGCAGACTTAGATGGTCACCGTGCATATGATTGAAGTTCTTGCGCGCGGTATCAGCGTGTATGATCTTGTCCTTGGGGCGATAGAATATGGCGCTATTAACTGACAGCATGGCCGCTATGGTGACCATTTCCTCGGAGCACTTGTATCTGCAATTTAAATAAGCCTATTAACCAATCGTGATGAGAAAGTGAAAGTATATGCCACAAACTTTTCGCTGGCCAGCAGCATCTTTCCCATCATTGGATCCACGGGAAACTCCGCCATGCGACGGCCCAGCTTGGTCAATTCGCCGTGATGATTGAGCGCGCCCAACGCGTAAAGCTGCTCCAGCGCCAGCACTAGCGTCTCGTGTGGTGGCGGATCGAGAAAGTCAAAGTGTATTAGATCGTTAATGCCCAAAGCCTTGAGCATGAGCACCGCATTGCCAAGGTTAATGCGGCAGATTTCGGGCACTGTGTTCTCCTCCAGCTCGTGCTTGTACGCCCAGGCGGTGTACAGACGGAAGCATTTACCTGGTGCTGTACGTCCAGCGCGTCCAGCTCGTTGATTTGCCGAAGCCTTTGAAATGGGCACCACCATGAGGGATTCCATGCCCGTGCGAGAGTTAAAGTTGTTTTGCTTGGCAAAGCCCGGATCGATGACATAAATGATGTTGTCTATGGTCAGCGACGTTTCCGCAATGTTCGTGGCAAGGATCACCTTGCGTGCGTTAGGCGGTGTCGGTTCAAAGATTTTGGCCTGCATGTCGCTGGGTAAATTGGCATAGACTGGAATGACAATGAGTTCGCGTATTTTGGAGCCCAAACGCTTGACACGATCCTGCAGCACCTCCTGACACGTCTCGATCTCGTCCTGGCCCGTAAGAAATACCAAAATATCGCCAAGCGGCTGCGTAGCGTGTATCTGCAGCACCGATACGCAGCAAGCGTCAATATAGTCCGCCTCGGGCGCTTTCGTATAGAATATGTCAACCGGATAGCGCCTACCGGGTATACGAAAAATGGGCGCATCGTCAAAGAATGCGGAGAATTTCTCTGCGTCAAGCGTAGCGCTGGAAATGAGCAGCTTTAGCTCGGGCCGAAATCGTGCTATATCCTTCACAAGGCCAAACAGAATATCCGTATGCAGCGTACGCTCATGGGCCTCATCAATGATCATGACGCTGTATGAGCCCAGATCCGGTTCCGAGAGGAACTCACGGTGCAACGTGCCATCTGTCATGTACTTGAGTATGGTGCGATCCGATGTGCAGTCCTCGAAGCGAATGCTGTAGCCCACCTCATTGCCCAGCTTAACACCCATTTCTTCGGCCACTCGAGCAGCCACTGACATGGCAGCCACGCGGCGCGGCTGTGTGCAGCCAATCATTTTTTTATCCTTTGTAAAACCAGCTTCAACAAGGTACTGTGGCACCTGTGTGGTCTTGCCAGAGCCAGTCTCTCCTTCAATGATAAGCACCTGGTGCTCCTTTACAGCTGCAATGAGATCCTCCTTAAAGGGATAAACAGGCAACGATTTGCGCGTCTCATCCAGCGTCAGACGCTTGCGTTCTTTTTCGGTTAGTTCAGCTTGCTTGGCGGTCTTCTCTCGGGTCCCGTCAAGCGTGAGGGCCTGTATGAAATCAATTTGATCATCCAGCAGCAACTCGTACTCCTCCTCAGCCTTCGCGTCCTTGGCACCAAACTGGAACCGTGCTGAGGCCAGCTGCTCAGCCTCCCATTTCTTTTGCTCCGAGTTGGGCTGCTTCTCAAATTCATCCACCTCCACGTACTCCGCTGCAACACATAGTTGAACATAGTTTAGTCAGTTTTAAATATATTAAATGTATCCTAGAAATTTACATCGCTCGCCCTTCTTAAGATCCTGCGGCATGTGATAACGCTGAATGCGCTCCAGCTCACGCGCCTTCTCATGCTCCTTGGCTATGTTCAACAGTTGTTTCTTGTACTGGCGCTCCTCCCGTTCGCGCTTGGTTAAACTTATGGAAGAACGAGCATGTTAGCTACCGCAGTTTGATATTTTAGCAAGCACTTACACGCTCTCTTCGAAGAGATATTCGTCGTCCAGTATATCTGCCTCCAGCTCAGCCACTTTGTCTTCCTTGCGCTTTTCCAAGTACTGTCGGCGCGATTGAACGCGCAGATGAGGCACAATCTTGTCCCGATCTTCATGCTCCAGTTTCAGGCGCTTGGTGGCCTCTTCAATCGCTTTGCGTCCGCCAGTTGCCTCAACCACTTTACGGGTGCGTTCCTCATCACGCTGCTTCAAGCGATTGGCAAACTCATCTCGCTCTCTTAGATCCTTAAGACGCGACTCCTCTTCGCTGTCTGGCTCCTCCGCGCTGCTACTGCTGCTGCTGGCCGTCCGTTTACGACTTTTACTCGACATATTTCCTAAAATATTAAATCACAAGCCAAACACAACAAGAGAGCTCGCCGGTTGCCTGAAACTAGTATGCTGCTCGCAATGCTTGAACATGTAAACAATGTTATCGCTTCTTATTTTGCTTAGCTATACGGAGCTCACAGCCATTAAACTAATAAAGTATTTTGTCTGTTATGGTAAATCTTTTTATTTATAATATTATCAAGCAAAATTTTTATTTTATTGAATTATATTAATCAGTTTTTGGTGTAATTATTTGTTAATGGAGATTATTAAATTTTGCTCTGCCCATTTACTGGCATGATGCATTAGATACCTTCGACATTCGCTATCGATATACATCGATATTTTCACGACAGTTGGCAAATCGATTAAATTTAGCCCGCCGCTAGCAGCCGCAAATTATATTTATACATTTGTTTTTCGGTAAACAAAGTCTATTTCGAGCATGTCGCGCCAATTAAGCTTTTGTCCTCAGCAGGAATATGAGCTCATTGAATATCCTGGCCGAGTGGTCAACACAGACCGCATGCTGTCTACTCTGGGCGGCATTGTCAACATATCAAAGGTAACAAACTTAAGATCTTATACAAAAAAGAAACAACCCAAATTGTCCACTTTGCAGGTTCTGGGTGATGAGAAGAAACGCTTGGAGCTGCGTTTTCATCCGGATAATCCATACAACAAGCCCACCTTTGGTGACTGCACGGACAAATCAGGTGTTCTGCTGTCGGTAACCGTGCGGCGACATAAACGCGACAAGTCGCGCCCGCCGCAGCACTTTGTCCGGGTGCTGGGCCATTGCAGCCGCAGCTTCTCATTTGAATGTAAGATGTGGATAAGGGTTTCTTGAACGGAGCGTTAACCAGACTCTGCTGCTTGCAGCGCTTTGTGATTTTCAGTATCTGCCGCTTTGGCATATGCCCAAAAGTGATGATTCCTGCGCCGCATCAGAGCTGATGTATGCATTGGATCAAGTGCAGCCACGCGATGTGACCGACTTGGACTATTTCAAGTGAGTAAATTGCTATATGAATTAAAAAGTGTTGCAATGCCTTTGCTCTGCAGACGCCCACAGGCGCAATTGCTTTGCCTGCCGGAGCTGTTCGCACGCGTGGACATTGTGCACGGAGGACACTATCGAATCGATGGAACTGGAGATGGTCAGCATGAGGTGCTGGGCGTATCGGCCAAGTCCACCTATGACAATCACGATGTCGTCTCGTTCAACATGCAGGACACATTTCCCACCCAGCCAGATGCGCAAATACTCAAGCGCCTCAAGGTGAAATACGTCTCGGACGAGCAATTCGCCCGGGTCAAGAAGCTGTTCGATGATATTCCCATCTGGACACGCATTGCGCTGCTGTACGAATCGGGCGTAACCAATGAGAAGCTTAAATGCATCATACCATCACTGGCCTTTTACTTCAGCAATGGGCCCTGGCGAACATTGTACGTGCGCTATGGCTACGATCCTCGCAAGGACTTCAAAAGTCGACACTATCAAACATTTGACTTTCGCTTGCGGTTCGGCTCGGGCGTGTCCGAGTTTGTCTACTCACGGAAGTCTGCCAAACAGAAGAGATCATCCACGGCCGCCAGCGAGGAGATGAAAAGTGAATTGGTGCAAAACATCGATTATCCCTATTTTGATGAACACAAGTTGCCACGTTCCAGGCAGTGCATGCTGCGCTATTGCGATGTGCGCCTGCCAAAGATACAGGAAATGCTCGAAAAAATTCCCACTCCACTGACTGGCGCTGTTTGCAACGAACGCACCGGCTGGTTGCCACCCAGCTTTGATGCACAGGTGCGTCAAATTGTATGCGCCACCATTAGCGATCTGCTGCGTAACCATTATCGCAAAGAACATCTGACCGCCGAGGTGGAGGCTGTGCCCCAGACCGAGGGTGAAGCCGAAGCAGAGGAGGAGGAATACTACATCGAAGACGAGGAGACTCAAGAGGAGGACATGGACCTGGATGAAACGCCGGCCAACGAAAACCTCGTCGATAAAAACATTGAACAGTTGCTCAACAATATCACAAGCTGATCTGATTATATGCGCGATCTCTTACAATAAGACAAACTAAAATAGTTTTAGCTGTGATCACAAATAGTTTTATAAGATTTTTGCAAAAGTAACAAGATTCAAAGAACATGTTTAAAAATGGACGATCTTAAGATGCTTATCAAAGAAACTTGTCCCAATCTTAAAAACTGGGGAACTGAAGCTGAACTGATTCAAACTCAGACATTTCCTACATATCCCTTAAACCTTGTAAAAGGTCACTCTGTTGGTTGCCAGTGGATAGTCCCAGCTCTACTTCCTTTCAAGCTTTCAATGATACGCACCAGGTTGTAATGCAGCTTAGACTCGGGTCTTCCTTTGGGTAAGTGTGGTATATATTATTTAAAAGATTGAGTCCATTGGCAGGCTATGTCCTTTTTGCAATATGGGAAAACATAGTAGGCAAACGATTTTATTTTTCTGCCACTGGCCGCTGAGCACGAATAAAATTCAAATTTTCCAGCATATTAATATTTTTGTATTGTCAGCGTCAGCTTTTAATAAAATTGTTTGTAAATGTTACTATTGCAAAAATAAAAAAAAAAAAGGTTTTTCAATTAATAATTTTTAAAAAAGTATTTTCAGAAATTTCTGTTAGTATATATATCAAGAATTAAATGCAAAAATTTAAATAATAAATCTCCAGTCCATTCCGTAGGTAATCTAGAGACAAAATGGATCTATTTGCAGGGTCTAACAGTGCGGAACAAGTTGGCTCCCAGTCGGAGAATGACGCTTGTGGCGGCGTTGGCACTTTGACGGAGGAGGACTTGATACATTGTGCGACAGTTTGGAACAGAATGAGTTTTGAGGAAAAGGAAAAGTATCGCAATATAAACAATTGCAAGAAATCAAACATAGAGACCGCCGATCCAGTCAGTTCTATGGCGCTTTGCGAGGAGGATGATGCCGACGATACAATTTTAGATCCATTCTGTCCTGAGAAGCCGTCCTGCTCGAGAAGCCTGAAGCCAAGGTGCACGACACGCAGGACCAAGCGTAACATATGCCAGCCCCGCAAACGAAAGAGGCCCTTCGGTGTCAAACGCAAAAAGTGGGTGAAACCGGGTCCAGTCACGAACAACCCATACTTGAACTTCATTCGCACCGTTCGACGCAGATACTGCGGCCTGATGCCCAAGCAGCTAGTCATTCTGGCTGCCTATGAATGGCGGTGTCTGAGTGATAGCAAGAAACTGCGGTATCGTCGTCTGGTACTGCTCAGCCCATGCCCACTTTTCCTTGCCACTGACCAAATCTCTCTCTCTTTCTTTTTATAGGCTTCCCTGGTCAGGGCCAGTCAGCGGCAGCAACAGCGATGTGCCTGCAATCTGACGTGATAACTATCTCTGGACATGTTCATTATAGTCACAAACGAAGGAATACCGCGCCTTGCAGCTGCATTTTCCTGTTCTCATGTCATTTGCTACTCATTTAAAATCATAAATACAATAATGCAATGCACCCAGTATCCATTAAATATACCTCTCTTAACATGCCTTCCACGGTGAAGTGCGCCCAGAAAATGCTCTTCAGCATTCTTCAATTCGAGTTAGTTACGTGCATAGGCAAGATTACATACAACATCCTGGATCAGAATACCTCAATAAGGCTCCACATGTTGAACCGACTTTTAGGCTAATCGCAGATGCTAAAAAGGCAACTGTTGACTTCGTTTGTTGCTCTTTTATTGGCCTTAAGAATTGGTTAATAAAGCTCCGCTTAGGCGAGAGCGGGCACTAGTTATGCATCTATCCTTGCTGCAGAAGCCGAGCATCTCAGCAGATATTTGATAGCCTTTGGGGCGTGCTTTTATTTGTGTACGTGAGTTAAACGTAAGAGAAGTGCGGATTATATATAAGAGCTTTAAGCGGAAACTGTTTAGATTTGTAAATGCTGCGTGTTGTAGAAATGGCGAAGCGACTTAAGGCTTGCATCTGTCGAGGAAGCGTGGATAGAGACAGACGTCGCGGATGTGATAGCGGTTGAGCAGCCAGCAGAGGAAGCGTTCCAGACCCAGGCCGTAGCCGCCGTGCGGCATTGTGCCGTAGACGCGCTGATCTGTGTACCAGTAGTAGGGCTTGGGATCGATGCCCTCGCGCTCGTAGCCCTTCATCAGCTCGGCGCTGTCGTAAATCCTCATGGAGCCGCCAACAATTTCACCCACATTCGGCAGCAGGACATCGACGCTTTCGGTAAGGCGCTGATCGTCCTTGCAGCGCGACATGTAAAACGATTTGATTTCGGCCGGAAATTTAATCAACAGAATCGGCTCATTGATTGTGTCAGTCATTTTGCGCTCGGGCGCCTCCGGAATATCCTCGCCGAATTCATAGAACGTGCCGTCTTCCTTGGGCACGTTGTTCTCCTTGAGCCATTTGATGGCGTCCGCGTATGGCATGCGCCTAAATGGCTTCTTTGGTGGCTTAAAATCGGGATTGAGCTCCTTGACGAGGTAGCCCCAAGGCGACTTCAAAACGCGATCAACCACATCACAGACCAAGTCCTCCAGGCGATCCAGCAAATCGTCAAATGTGATGAACGGACACTCGGCCTCAATGTGAGTGTACTCCGCCAAATGGCGACGTGTCCGGCTCTGCTCAGCCCGATAGCTTTGCGCAATGGTAAACACATCGCCCAGTGCCGGCAGGCATGTCTCCAGATACAGCTGGGAGCTCTGTGTGAGGTAGGCCTCTTCGCCAAAGTACTGCATCTTGAACAGCGTGGAGCCGCCCTCGACCTGGGTCTGCACTAGCGTGGGAGGCGTCACCTCGTTGTAGCCGCGCTCAATGTAATGGCCACGGAATGCCTGCATCACAACGGAGCGCATCTTGAGCACCTTGGACGTGTTCTCGCCGCGTATCATGATGTGCCTGTTGTCCAGCTGCACGTCGGGATGCGCCTCCTCGTTGAGTATTGCATCAGCACCGCCCGGCGGCGCCAAGCCGATCAGTTCCCAATAATCAACATTCAGCTCGTGTCCGCCTGGCGCTGTTTTGCCCTCCGGAAGCAGCCGCAGCGTGCCATAGAGCAGCACAGTGCTCTCAGTGCTGAGCATCAGCGCCTCATACGTCTGGCACAGCAGATCGTTGAGCACGCACTGCAAGAATCCGGTGCCATCGCGCAAGGTAATAAACATCAAGGATTTGCCCTGTCGGCGTAAACGATGTACCCAGCCGTAGATTTTGACACGAGTGTTGCGCTGCTCGGTGCCCTCGACAATGCGAATTCTCTTGGCCACCGGCAAGCTGGGATCCTCGCTGATCTTCACTTTGCGAGCGTCTTCCAGATTCTGTTGCCGCTTCTCAGCATCCACGGCCTCGCGCTGCTCCTTATCCGCATTCTTGTGGCCCTCGCGCACGAATAGCTTTTGGATTTTCTTTAGCTGCGATTTGGCTGCCGGCTCGTAGACTTCGCTGGCGTTCGGATCCTTGCTGTCCACATAGATAGTGGGGAAGGGCTCCTTGCCGGCATGACGCATCGCCTGCAAAATGGTTTTATATGGCTTGGCCTCGCTGCCATCGCCCGAATCGTCGCTTCCACGCTTTTCCGAAGTGAAAAGCGCACCTGCAAAAATAGACAGTCAAATATCCATTTACACACAAATTAACACTCACTTCGACAAGTAACTTCCACACACACAAATAATGGCAACGTGGACGGCCACAGATGCCGCATTGCTGAATACTAATCTTAAAGTATGTATTAATGATAACTTACTCATTGTTAGCTCGGAAAATTGCTTTGAAGGCATTTTCTGAAATGATCTAATATAATTTAATGCAACTGCTTTTAATTTCTTGGCCTGCCTGATTGAAAATTGCACACAAATTGCATCAGTTGCTGACGAAAAAGAAGAAAGGGAAATATTTGATTACTGGGAATTTGTCTTTAACAGCAAGGCATAACATTTTCCCTAATGTTCGAATGGGCTGTTATTTACATCGCGCATAAATCACGTTTGCAAAAAACCAGCCAAGCAGAGTAAAGATCAAATAAATAATAAATAAGTGGATAATTTAATTTACCTAATTAGAACAACCAGCAAAGCAGCAATGTAAAATCTTTACAAAACCTTTATTAACAGCGGCAAATCACTCGTGGACAGCGCTGTTTCGATCATATTAATATATCGATATATTAAGATCTATCGATGCATCAACTTTTTACTGCAAAGAGGTAAACACAGTAATTACAATATTTGCAATGCCCACGGAAAACAAGTAAGGCTTTATACTTTGAGATCTACGTAGAGTAGTATTATTTACGGAACGTTTTCCAACTAGTATCAAGATTTTCCCCAAGTCGGTGGTCTGCGAGGAGAGCACTCTACGTGGTGACATCACCTTTTCCGCTGGCTGCGTCGTGCATCCCAGCGCAACAGTCATTGCCGAGGCAGGACCCATTATATTTGGCGAAAACTGCATAGTGGAGGAGTATGCAACCATTGCACATCGACTATCGGACGGCGCCAGCTGGGATGCCAACAATATTCTGAGCATTGGAAGCCACAATGTCTTCGAAGTCGGCTGCACCGTGGAGGCAGCGCGAATTGGCGACAAAAATGTGTTTGAAAGTAAATGTTTTGTTGGCAAAGGAGTGACCGTGTCCAGCGGCTGTGTAATTGGAGCTGGCATTCGAATGCACACTGCCCAAGTGCTTCCTGAAAATACTATTGTGTATGGGCAGCAAGCCCTGCAGCGCGAGGCCATTGAGAAGCAGGGCTCGCAAACCCTGCAGATCGACTTCTTACGGAAGGTTTTGCCCAATTATCATCACCTGCGCAAGCCCAACTACGACCCAAAGAAGGCACGCAGCGTCGTATAGATTTAATATGTATTTGTATAGGCTAGGCTGTATTAGTTAACTTCTAAAGCTGAGGCATTAAAGCCATTCATCTCTTTCTCAAACGTTTCGATTGTATGATCGCACAGCGCCTCCAGGTCCTCAAGTCCCCGCTTTAGCAAGTCAATGGCGCGCTCGCGGTGCGACTGTATGCGGAAATGCAGCTTTTGTTCTGTGGGATGTGGTATCGTATAACCGCAAAAGTCGACCTCCGGGTAGCGGGCTATAATTGTTTTTAACGCATTTCCAAGCGTGTGTCCCTCGTTTATGAAAACAAATGTGCGGGAACCGTCTCCATTTTTTTCGTCGCCTGCAAGCTAAGGGACACACTTTATTTATTGTCCAAAAGTTTTTGGTAAAATCATTTATTACCTCTGCCAATGCGCCCATTGTGCTGAAAATTGTAGAATTTCACAAAACAAATGCAGCTAATTGTTTTTATCAAAAACGTGCACAGCGTTTATCGGTTGCTTTGCAGCCCTGTGTTATCGAATTTTCGATATTTCGTTATTTGCGATGTCTTGCAACACTCGTGTTCTTGCACATATAGCGAGAACACGCTTGAAACTGAGTTAATGCGAATTTATAGACGTAGTATTGTTGTTAATTTATAATTAGTGCAATCGTTATTTAGAGCGCAACAACAATACGATAGTCAATTTCTAGTGTAATTCAACGCTTTTCACAAAAGTTACCAAACAGCATAAGCAAATTGCAATAAGTTAAGTGCCGCGATTGTGTATGTGTTGTGTGCGTGTGTTTGGAACCAAAAAAAAAAGTCTTATACAGCAGAAAAGGCGGCAAAAGAAACACAACAAAAATAACACTGCACATGATATGCAAAGCAAGGCGGCAAAAAAATTGCAACTACAAACATAATTATTTGTGCAATGCATTTAACGTGAACGTCGGCATCGTCTTGTTGCTCAAAAACAACAACAACAAAATCACTGACATTACGAATGAGCACAAAACTTTTTGCAGCATTTCGTTTTGTGCGTCAATGCAGACAGGAATAAAGAAAGAAACGGCGAAAATAATCTGCAGCGATCCAACAAAAACAACACAGAAACAGAAACGGCAAATGAAATACAGGTTTGTGCAAAAGCAGCAAAAAAAAAAAAAAAACCAAATCAGCTCATTGTACATAGTATGCACTTTGATATATTTTACTGGTAATTTATAAACCAAAAAGGTGTCATTTTTTATGAATTTCTTTAAGCAACGCGCCGTATATACATGTATGTGTACATACATACACACATACACTATATCAAATTATGCAAATTCATGCAGCAGTTGCGCTGCCGACGCCAGGCGTGCGCAAAGGCGGAAGCGTATGCTAGAAGACCAGTTCGCTGCCAGCGCTCAGCTCTGTTATTCTTTTTATTTGCTGTTATTTCAATACATACATATCAATGTACATAAATGCATGTGTATATATGTGTATGTATGTATATACATTATTACGTTAGTAGTTGCCAGGCCGCTTGTTCTTCACCCTACCCCGCCTTTGCGCACATTTTTTATTTTTACATGTTCTGCCAGAAAACGTTGCCTTGCGGCTCATTTGTTTGGTGGTGGAAGCGGCGTCGTCATCGTCGCTCACATCTGTTGTTTGTTAAAGCAGCCTGTCTCTGGCTGCCCGCCTGCCCGTTCGCCGCCTGTCTCTTTGTTGTTGGTGGTGACTAACGCAAAACCGTGTTCCGTTATCTCAAAACGTTTCTCACGTCCCGGTGTCCAATCCAGATCCACACACCCACACATTTTAAGCGTGTGTTGTAATAGCAGAGTTTTTAATGAGAGTACATACATATGTGTGCTTGTATGTGTCATTGGTGGCTTTTATGGCGTTTGGCGCCGTTTCATGTTTCACCCAATGCTATGCGTTCCCCTTACATATTTGCAATTTGGTCTACGTCTACGTTCCGTTTTCTCTGCGTTCCCCCCATTATGTTGTTCACCCTTTTGCATGCTTCGAAGTGCATTTGAATTCATATATTACATACATACATGCATACATATGCATGTCTAGTACTACAGCTGGCATATTCCTGTTTAGATCACAGGAACATTTTTATCCAACTTAATAGTGATCGCTAAAAGTTATCATCCATTTATAAAACATAATAATAATAATTTAAATGTATATGATTTCGCAAGAGCGTATAAATTGATGTATGTAGACACATAAACATACATATTTGTGTCTGGCTCTCTGGCAACGTCGGCGGCGGGCTGTCAAGGGAAGAACGTCGACCGCGGCAGACCATGAAAACTAAAAACCCATGTTGGACGTCAGCACAGACAGAGCACAGACCACGGCAACATCCTGTACAGCAGCCACGAACGAAAAAATGCACATAAAGCATAAAAAAAAGAAAAAAAAACCTGTCATCTGCTCCTGACGTTCCCTTTCCTCCCCGCTTGCATGTTTGGATTTGCCAGACTGCCCAGCAGCCTGCATCCGACACGGCTTCGACATAGATATAAATATATACGTATTGATGTACTTGTGTGTGTGTATGCAAGCAAGAGGACATTGAACGACGTTCGTTCATCGTTAGTCCAAGAGCTGCAGACAGGAGGTAGCATTTTTAGAATTCCCAAAAAAAAAACAAACGAGCAAGTAAGGATATCTTTGGCACGCCGAAGCTTTAATGCCCTTGTGCACATATCTCTATTGCAGATATGGTGTAAAATTTAGAATTTTTATAATTATATTTGAAAATAAAATATTTTGCCATATAGAATCCTACTATTCCAATGATATTCCCTAAAGCAGCCATATGATAGTGATCTGAGGATCTTAGTGGAACTAATAAATACCGAGTTTGGTAAAATTAGATTGATAACAGAAAAGATTTCCATATCACAGCCAACTTTTCGACGGATCATTCCTATGGCAGCTAAGCCTAACACATTTCATGACAAATTCAACATACCCTCTGCAAGGGTATTAAAAGCAACTGTCGCGAACAGACAGCATAAATAAAAACAACAACGATGACATTCCGCACAGGGACAGAGCTAGGAAAGGTCTGGCAACACTGTCATGTCTCGATCCGCGCGAACCGTCTGCAGAAGAAGTAAACGAAATTCGCGCAAATGATGTTGCCAGATTGAAGCACTAGAAGCAAGCAGCTGGTCACATTTGATCGCAATTTTATCGATAATCTATCGAACTGTTGTTGTTTGTAACGTAACGTAACGTAAATGTATATATACAGCGTTTGACTACCTAGCTTGCTGTGTATGTATATGTATATGTAACGTGTGCTACCCCGACTGCAATGTCCTGTGCGTCGCTCTGTGTGTGTGCGTGCGTGTGTGTGTGTGTGTGTGCAGTTTCATTTCGTTTTCGTTTCACTTTTTGGCCATTGCCTGATTCTGTTGCTGCTTGCTTCTTTTATTGTTTTACTTTTACAGCTGCCTCTTTTTCAACTTGCATTTATGCCCGCTCGTTCGTTCTTCCTGGTGCTGCCGTTGTTGTTGCTGCTGTTGCTTTGTGTTTTTGCAGCAAGGGTGGAATAGAGCTCAACGCTTCGTCGCAGCCGTCGCACAAAACAAAAATTTATAACATTCGTACGTCTGGCTTTGATCCTTTTGGGCTTGCTTTTATTATTTTTGCTTTCGATGCAGACGTCTGTCTGGCCACCACCACCCCGAGTCATGAGCGTGAGGGGGAAAGTGTCTTGCAAATAAATAAATAGTCATGTCAGCCATAATATTAATGCCGAGCCCAAATGGCAGGAAGGTGGTGCAAAGTTTACGTTTTGGGGGCGGCAGCGTTGCTAATCAACCCTCTGGGGCGCTGTTTGCCCGACAACAACAGCAAGAACAGCAAAGAACAGCAAAGAACAAGAAACAGAAACGGGAGAAGAACCAATTGCACAGCCTCCCCCAAAATATATCGCAAGTCTGTGCGTGTCTGCGTGGGGTCAATAAACTTTCGCGCCACCAACTTGTGCGGCATGTGGCAGAGATGGACCATTCCATGCCGAAACGAGCCAGGCAACTGCCAACTGTGTACTGGGTACCAGGGATCAGGGACCGTGGACACGTTTCCTTTCTCTAGTCACCCTCGACGTTGCGATGCGACTCGTCATCGGTGGGTCGCACGTTCTACGCATTTTTGTGCATTGACCCCAGTCGGCAACCCACACCTTCATCCACCCCCCCACCCCCTTCATACGGTCGCACACACAATGGCAACCCTTGTTGATTTGATTTTCATACGTCTGAGTGGGGCCGAGCAGGTGAGGCGGTGGGCGGTGTCAGTGTCCTAATCCTTATGAATTTCGCTTGTTTCTGCTTTTATGTTTTCATATATATGCGGACATGCGCTCCCAAATATGGCCATCAAATAAAATATGTATGCACCTTCGATTACACCTTTATGATGTCATAAAGTGAAGACGGCTTTAATTGCACAGTGGGACACATTTATCTGCACAGTGAGCCAAACATATGTGTATATTTATTATGTAATATACGCACATAAAACACTTTTATGGCTACTTGGCTTAATAACCCGTCATGGGCGTGGTTAGATATTGTAAAGTCGCGACGAGACCAGACGGACAATCGGGCACTTCCTGTTTCGGCTTGACAGCAAATTCTATTCAACTTCACGTGGCACGATTTGCCATGTAATTTGCCTAACTTTGAGACAATGCCAGCAATCAGAGAGCCATCATTAAGGGTCATTTGGTAGGGCGAATTTAAGGGTAGTTTACAGTTTTTCGATTTCCCTGGGAAACTGCATACATACATATATGCATGCTAAATTTCACGCTTTTCTCTGCACGTTTTGTCCAATATGCTAATGGGAATGTCCGAGAAAGTGCCAGACAGAGCATTACAGGGCGGCTGACTTGTAAATAGATCTTCAGGCTAAGTGTGTGTGTAAGGGTTCGTGGGAAATTTGAATGTCTTGAAAATTGCCGTAGGGCTAGAGAGAAGAAGAACAACACGAAAGGGGTTGAACAGGTTGCTGTCGCTGGAATCGGCTATTTGAGGCGAACTCTAGTGTTGTGTAAGGCGAAAAGAAAATCCTAACCAAATGAAAATAAAGAGAGAACGTGTAACAATACTTTCAATACAAAAGGAAACAGAGTTTTGTAAAAATATCTTGTTAAATAAAAAACGTTTTTAGAAACTTGACACGATATATAGATCGGATCTGAGAGACACAAGTTTGCGTATTGTTGATAGAGAACAAATTAAAACTAGTTTTAAGTCAGCTTGAAGTTATAAAAACTGTTTATAAGACAGTTAATTATGATACATTATCTCAACTTCACTTATGTTTCTTTCATTTATTAAAATTAAATTATATTAAAATATATGAAATGGAATTGTTGGAATTGTTCCAATATGTCGATTGTCAGCAGGTGTTAGGAATTTGATACTCGGATAATGGCCCATTGAATCATTTGCGTTTCCGAAATATATTCCCAATGACATGTATCTAAAGTTGTGTCAATGTCTAAAGATTCTTTACTTATAAATTGACAACTTATGCGGCGTTTGGTTAAAAAAAAAATACAGGTTTTCAAGTTCTTAAAAAAACAAAAAAAAACCGGATCGGTAGTCTTTCCAAGTGCGGATTAAGTTTACACGACGTTCTAACCGGAAGCAGCCAGACTCGAATCACAGGCCGAGCAAAGGGGCTCGTGCCAGAGAGTTCCTTTTGATATATATCTGTCGATTTATCTATTTAAGTTGTTTTGGCAAATTGATTTCTGTTTTGTTGTCAGTTCGCATTTCTTAAAGTTCTATCATTTTGCTGGCTGCATTTTCAAGATTTTCAAGATTTTTGCTCTTTCATATCATTTTTTCGCTATCTCTTCGCATTTTCGTATATTTTATACAGATTAGGAATATTTCCTATTAAATATGACACAAGATATTAAAGCTTTGGGACTGAGTCTCTTTTTTTTCTCAATTTTAAAGCTAATTCACTTTTGTAAGCATATTTGGGTTTCTTTGGGTTTCAGTTCAGAGTTTTTTTTTTGTTTAAATTTTGTTAGATTGTTTAGATCTATTATTGCTGTCAGACTTCAAACAAAGAATATATATTTCGATAAAGT